AAAATCCATCAAGAATTGTGCCTTCTAGAGTGTTTACGAGCTAAAAATTGAACGAGCATTTAAAGAACAAGGGCAATAACTCATAATAAATATTTTTCAATTTTTCCGATTTTCAATAGGGTTTATCCTTTGATGATTACAAACAATCATACCAAGTTTCATCAAAATCCGTCAAGAATTGTGCCTTCTAGAGTGTTTACGAGCTAAAAATTGAACGCATTTTAAAGAACAAGGGCAATAACTCATACTTAACATTTTTCGATTCTTTTGATTTTCAATAGGGTTCATCCTTGAGTGATTATGAACACTCACACCAAGTTTCGGCAAAATCCATCGAGAATTGTGGCTTCTAGAGTGTTTACGAGCTAGAAATTGAACGCATTTTAAAGAACAAGGGCAATGACTCATTCTAAATATTTTTCGATTCTTCTTATTTTCAATAGGGTTCATCCTTGAGTGATTAAGAACACTCACACCAAGTTTAGAATGTTTACGAGCTAAAAATTGAACGTGTTTTAAAGAACAAGGGCAATAACTCATACTAAATATTTTTCAATATTTTCAATAGGGTTCATCCTTTGGTGATTACGGACACTCACACCAAGTTTTGTCAAAATCCGTCAAGAATTGCATCTTGTAAAGTGTTTACGAGTAATTGTGGACCGACGGACAGACATGGGAGACGGCAATATACGCCCCCTGTTTCATGTGGGGGTATAAAACTAATGACTTCTTGTATAAGGTAAACTATTGGTTAATACTACTTTTAGGGGAGAGGATGGTTGAAAATCTATTTTTTTAATCTGTTAACAGGAGAGGATACAATTTGGCATCATTTTTGAAGTTGGTCTGCTGTTGAAATGGTTAATAGGTGAAATTTTTTAAGATAATCTTAGCATTCAGCATCATGTCAATTTATATCCATTTGTCAAGAAAATAAAAAAATAGATTTTGGACCAGCCTTTCCCCTTTATTCATTCTTTTCACTCACTGCAGTCGCTAACTTCTTTCAATGATGTTTTGCATCATAATTCAACAACAATGCCACTTTTAAAAATAAAAAAAATCTAAAACTGAAATACAATATACCTTTTCTGTTCCTGGTGCATACTGAGTGAGAGTGGTATGGTAAACTTTTTTACATTTCAATTTTCCACCAGAAGTAATAGCTATATCACCAACTTGTATACCATCTGGATAGTTTTGATCACATTCTTGTTGTAAACTTGATCCACCAGCTTTATAAAGAGACCCAGATACAGCACCATTTTGTAATTTTAGTTCAGCAGAAGTGGTATTCACTATGACATCAGCCTAAAACAAAGAATCAAAGTCAAAATATGAACAAAATCATGAAATTTGAATCCACTTGATACATTACCAGTTTTGCTTTTTTGCAAAATCCAAAACTGTAATCTCTTAAGGGGTCAAATTAATTCTGCTTAGACTAGGACAATGATCTGATGTTTCTCCAGGATTCAAAAAAAGGTGGTATTGCATTGTAATGCTGGATCTTTGTTTGCTAGACTGCCACATTCAATCCAGTGATTAAATATTATAATTCAGTAGTGGACATTTACACATGTAACAATCTAGTTCTTTTTGCCTCAGCACATTAATTTATAAAGATAAAGAAAAATATTATGTTTCTAAGGTTAAAGTTTTTTTTTTTTATTGTGCCATCTCATAACTCTGTATTGCATAGTACAATGTATATTGAACTGGCCAGTATTTCTTTTCAATTGATATTTGAGGATAAGAATAACATAATATTTTTGTTTTTTAAAAAAAGATAGCTTGCCATGTAAGGTAATATACGCCCACTGGCTGCTTTGATTTTCAATAAAAATATTTGGCAGTACTGTATGAAATATTCAACCTTCAGTCATACACTTCTTTTGAACTTTTTGGGGTTATACTGTTTAATACTTCCAAATTTTCGTCAAAATCCGTCAAGAAATGGGCCTACTGGAGTGTTTACAGACTAAAATTTGAACACGTTTTTAAGAACAAGGGCGATAACTCAATTTAATATTTTCCGATTCTTTTGATTTTCGATAGGGTTCAATATTGGTTGATAACAAACACTCACATCAAGTTTCGTCAAAATCCGCCAAGAATTGTCCCTTCTAGAGTGTTCATGGGCTACAAATTGAAAGTGTTTTTAAGAACAAGGGCAATAACTCATACTAAATATTTTTTATGGGAGATAAGGTTGGCTTAATCGACCAGTTATCCCGTTATTTTCAGTGACTAGTTTTGTTCCGTTTGAACTCTTCAGACTGAACATGGAACCAGGCAAGGTCCCAGGCAGACCCATCATCAGTGGCAACGGGACCCCAACTGAATTCATCAGTAGCTTCATTGATGAACATATAAAAGGAGTTTGTTCCCCTCTATCTCAGCTATATCCAAGATACAACCCATTTTATCCACAAATTAGAATCAGTTGATCTCTCCTCAGAGACAGACGTTATTCTCATGACTATGGATGTCACCTCCTTGTACACCAACATCCCTAATGAAGAAGGCTTAAGAGCAGTAGCCAAAAGCATTCACTCAAATAAACCCAACTGGAGAATCAACCCTATACATTTACTGGCATTACTTAAACTAGTCCTCACTAAAAACAACTTCGTTTTTAACAACAAACATTACCTACAAACCGGGGGTACTAGTATGGGCACCAAAGTTGCGCCCAGCTTCGCTTGCATCTTCCTAAGCGAGCTTGAACAAGAAATGTTAGACCAAATGCCCTACAAACCTTTTGTTTACGTCAGATACATAGACGACATTTTTATCATCTGGACTCATGGAACGCCCAAACTACAGGACTTCCTCCAACGGATGAACTCTTATCACAATACCATCAAATTCACCGCCGAACACTCAACAGATAGAGTATCCTTCCTTGACACCTGGGTTGTTTACAATAAACACACCATTAAACTCTCCTTCGACTTGTTCTGCAAACCGACAGACACACATTCGTACCTCTCGTACCTCTCGTGTCACCCACCCCATATCAAAACGAAGGGACCACACAGTCAATTCCTCAGACTCAAACGCATCTGCTCTAACCCAGTCAACTATAACAAACACGCAGACAACCTGGTACAATATTACCTCAACCGAGGATACCCCAGAGATATAATCCTATCCAACAAATCCAGAGCCGATATTATACAACGAAGGACGCAAAACCAAAACAACGTTGGTAAACAAACGTCCAGTTTTCATAACACAACACAGGCAAATCCTGCAACTGTCCCAAAGATTGGACTTGCACCAGCAGAAACGTCATACACCTCCTCACCTGCAACCTCTGTCAGAAACAATATGTTGGTGAGACTAAACGACAATTTCGCATCAGGTTGAAAGAACATTTTGCAGATATCAAACACAGCACAGACACCCCCGTCTCCGCCCACTTTTACCAACCGAGCCATTCTTGTCGCAATGTCGACTACCAGATCATCAAACAGCTAGACACCAACCCGGATTTGCCACAATCCACCGCCCTCAGGCGCTCCAATGAACTTCACTGGATTATAAGATTGAAAACTTTCCAACCTCACGGAATCAATGACAAAATCGAAACTTGGGTACCCCCACCTTTCTTGTTTTTTAAATATTTTTTATGATTTTTCCAATTTTTAATAGGGTTCATCCTTGGATGATTATTAACACTCACACCAAGTTTCATCTAAATCCATCCAGAATTGTGCCTTCTGGATTATTTACGAGCTAAAAATTCAGTCATACACTTCTTTTGAACTTTTTGGGGCGATATTGAATAATATTACCAAGTTTTGTCAAAATCTGGCAAGAATCATACCTTTCAGTGTTTACGAGCCACAAAGATTTTTCGATTTTTCTGATTTTCGTTAGGGTCCATGCTTGGGTAATCTGTCAAGAATTGTACCATCTAGTGTGTTTACAAGTTAAAATTGAACATGCTTTCATGAACAAGGGCACTAACTCATACTAAATATTTTTCGATTTTTCTTATTTTCCATAGGGTTCATCCTTGGGTGATAACAAACATTTACACCAAGTTTCGTCAAAATTTGTCAATAATTGAACCTTCTAGAATGTTTACAAGCTAAAAATTGAACGAGCATTTAAAGAACAAGGGCAATAACTCATAATAAATATTTTTCGATTTTTCCGATTTTCAATAGGGTTTATTCTTTGATGATTACAAACAATCATACCAAGTTTCATCAAAATCGATCAAGAATTGTGCCTTCTAGAATGTTTACGAGCAATTGAGGACTGACGAACATGGGACAATATACTCCCCCCATTTCATAAGGGCGTATAAAAAGCATGCTCAAAATCCAATCTAAACTTAAGTCTTTTTCATGGTGACAAGCCAGTTGTAGCAGAACTACAACTACAGCTAAATCCAGAGGGTATTTTTCTTTGAAAGTTTTAATCACATTCTTAAATTTGATCAGTCTGTTGAAGACAAATCTTTTTGAACCCTGGGATTTAGAAATTGCACTAAGCGCATTATTCGATTGCAACAAACTTTTAAACCGAAGAAGGGGTCTCTTAGACTTAGAGAAACATTCCAAAGGGACAGGTGCACCATTCTTTTTGACCAATCATAGTATTAGTGTTCACAGCTCACCATCGAAATTTGTCCCTACCCCTAAATCTGTCCCTTTAATATCCAATTTTAAAATATTTTTAAATTGTTTTTTGCACTATAATGCCCAAGAAATCCATGCAATTATCTAAAATTTATCAGTGATAGAGAAAAGCATAAAACATGTATGAATAAGAAGAAACATTTAAACTTACAGATACTTTAGCTATTTCTCCAGTGATAAGTTTGGGGTTAAATCTGCTCATTGGTTCTTGTATTGGTCTCAGTGATTCTGGTTCTGGTAGAGAGTAAGCACCTTCTCCAGAAATGTCATCATCTGAATTAAGATGGATTTATACATTGTTTTCTGAATGAAGTTATCAATTACTGATTTTTATACATGCTAAGTAAAATTAATTAATATGTTATGATAAGGCTTACCTTCATATTCAGTTTCTGATATCTGGCTTTGAAATCTTGGTTGTGTGCCATATCTTGGTTGATCATCAAATTCAGCTTGTTTAAAATCAACCGAAGATTGAAGACTGCGTATAAAACTATGGAGAGATTTGTCGTTGATGTCAATCAAATAAATGGTTGTTATGGATGATCTCTTTACTTTCTTAAAATGATTTGCAATAGATTGCACAATGATATCTGTTGCAGCATGAAGAGGATAGCCAAATATACCAGTACTAATAGCAGGTATAGCAACTGATTTGAATCCTTGTGACATCACCATTTCTAATATTCTTAAAATGACTTCTGCTAGTTTTTTATCTTCCTTAGATTTTCCAAACTTCCACCTTGGGCCTACAGCATGGACTATTTTCATACAAGGAAGATTTCCTGAATTACTCATCATACAATCCCCCTCAAGAACAGATCCATTTTCATAAACATATTCATTACATTCCCGTTGGATGGAAGCCCCTCCTGCAAGAGAAGATTTGCATGCCAGACAAGATAATATATGCGAACACAATAGCACAGTATAATGGGATCACTTAAAAGACTACGCAAAAATGTATCAATAGAGCTTTTGAAAAAGTTTCTCTTATCTGTTTCAACTCATCAATATGAATTTAAATGCATACGAAGTTCTCAAATGAGCCTGTTATAATTTCAAAGTACCAATTTTAAAGAGCACTCATATAAAAGCATATAAAAAGATCATGAAAATCAAACTCAAACGAATAAACCCATTGATATACTCCTACATACCAAATTTTGTGAAAAAAGCTTGTCAAAAATACCATCACCCAATAATACCTAATCTTACCTTTGTCATTGATAGCACCAGCAACTCCTCCAAGATGTTGTAGTCGTTCATTAGCAGCATTAACAATAACATCCACTGATAGAGTAGTAATATCAATTTGAACCACTTTAATAGTTGCATTATCAATTACAAATATGCCTAGTAATCCCTTTTCTTCGTTAAAGGACTCAATCATCTCTTCTTTTTCTTTTAAGATAACACATCTTGATTGTCCCTCAATAATTTGTATTATTTCTGAACCTTTATCAGAATCTATGAGCTTTTGATGCATTTTCTCTCCAATATTCTTTTCTCGACATTCAATACCTTTACAAAACGTTTTTACCGCCTCCAAAATTTCATGTACTTTTCCTTTAGTTCCTTCAACCTTTACACCAACTGTTTCTTCATCCATAGTTAACTTAACTTGTAATTCCTTAGCCAATTCTGTTAATTCCTTAGTCAAATATTTCTTTATGAATAGGTCATGACCTCTGAGTAATTTACAAGATTTTGTATAAATTGTGTTTTCTTCAAAAAATCTTTTCATTTCTTGTATTACATCTTCAAGTATGTCAGATATACATGTAATTGATACTGTTTTTTCATTCAGTGTCATAATCTTGATGAAAGCTTCATTCTGATCAACCATACCATCTATAAATATCTGCCATTTTTTATCAGTAAGCAGAGGCGATGATTCTGGATCTAATTTATGTTCTTTATGTGAAATACTTTCCTTGAAAATATCAACAATTTTCTTAAGACTTGCCTGATCTTTAGCAATGACTTGAAGTTTGCCAGTTTCTTTACCTTTTTGTACATCTCCCTCCCACACGGCAAACTCCTTATCACCTTTGAGAATATTTTCAATGATATGTTTCTTTACATCAGGTCTTAATAATAATTCCATTATTGATGGTGACATCTCATCGTCTGTTATCATTTTATCTTTTAAAGACTCTATTTTCTCATAAATCATAGCTTTAGCTGCATTGATTTCTGATACCATTCCTTTAAATTCTACTTTATTATCAGACTTACATATCTTTAATTTACCATTGGAATCTTGTACCATTTTAATAATACCGAAATCATCTAAAACTGGATAGGAATACTTGAAAGTTACAGTTTCCACTAATTCCTTCTTCTTCCGCTGTAAATCAGCCTCTATTTTACTGATCATGTTCTTTATATCATCAATAAAAACTTTGAAAACTTCAGTGTTACAACTAATGGCAATAATTGATGAAGCAGAAACTTGAACAACAAGATCTTTTTCTTGTGGTTGTTTTAATTCATTTGCAACAAGCTCAATCACCTACAACAACAAATTATTTTGTAATGTTATTTAGTTACATTGATATAAGCGATCTAGTTATTACACAAGCTGTATAATGATATTTTTAGTTATTGTTGTTTGCTATGACTTAAGTATTGACCTGCAGCGACCTCAGAAATAAACAGTAGAATGCCATTGAAGTTAGTTTATAACACTTGGTGTCAGAAGTAAAAGATAGCTTGCGATGCAAGGTAACACACGCCCACTGGAAGCTGTCAGAAATGATAAAACAGTCTTTAGTGACTAAATTACGAATTTTCTCATATTGAAGAAATAATTGCTGAATAATTCCACAAAATTTTTTAAAATCAATATCAATAACCCAAATACAACAAACAATTAAATCACACAGCTCAAGGGCGAAAAATAACTTTTGACGCGTGTTTACAGAGTCAAGGGAAATAATTAAAAAAAAGTTCATCAAAAATATCTCTTGTTAGAACTTGTCCAAGATCTTATCAATTCCAATGATCACACCAAGTTTCATCACAATCGGATGAAAACTGTAGCTTCTATTGTGCTCACAAACAAATTTTGACGCGTTTTTGTAAGTTAATGGCATTAACTCAAAAACATTTTATCGAAATTGCGTCAAGTTAGAACTTGTCCGAGATCTTATCAATTTCAATGATCACACCAAGTTTCATCAGAATCAGTTGAAAACTGTAGCTTCTATTGTGCTCACAAACAAATTTTGACGCGTTTTTACAAAGTCAAGGGCAATAACTCAAAAACCGTTCATCGAAAATGCGTCAAGTTAGAACTTGTCCGAGATCTTATGAATTCCAATGATCACACCAAGTTTCATCAGAATCGGATGAAAACTGTAGCTTCAATCCTGCTCACGAACTATTTTTAACAAATTTCAAGGCGTTCTAAGTCAAGGGCAATATCTCAAAAACCGTTCATCGAAAATATGTCAAATTCGAACTTGACCGATATCTTATCAATCTAAAGCATCACACCAAGTTTTATCAAAATCAGATAAAAACTGTAGTCTCTATAGTGCTCACAAGAAATGTTGACGGACCGACGGACAGGGGAGACGACAATATACGACCACATATTCATGGGGGCGTATAACAAAAGCAAGGATTATGGAGCAACTAAAGTCTCCAGGCCATCTTTCGATGGAAAGAAATTTTGCCAAGAACTGGAAAGAGTGGATTCAAAGTTTTGACCTTTATTTTACTGCCACAAGAATAGACGAAAAGGAAGAAAACTACAGTGTGCTATTTCTTTACACGTGGCCGGCATCAAAGCACGCCAACTTTTCAACATGTTTGGGATCACAGGAGAAGATTCTGACAAAAGAGAACGTTTTAAAGATTACTGTGAACCACGGAAGAATTTGACATACATAAAACATGTATTTTTCACTCGAAATCAGGGTCAAGATGAGCCCTTTGATAATTATGTGACTGATTTGAGAAACAAAGCACAGCCCTGTGAATTCAAACTTTTGGCAGATAGATCAATTAGAGACAGAATAGTGTGTGGAATCCAGAATGAATCGTGCTGTGCAAGGTTACTCAGAGAATCAAAGTTGACTTTAAGAAAACTATAGATGTGTGCAGGCTCAAGAGATGAGTACAAGACAGTTAAAACAACTAAAAGGGTCAGAAGAACAAGCAATAGCTGCAATACGTAAGTTTAACAATAGGCCTACTGCTAAAAAATTCAACAAGTACAGTAAGAATGAACCACAAAGAACAGAAAATCAAAGATCTGATAGCACTATGAACACCAAGCCCTGTCAGAATTGTGCAAGAAAAGACATGAAAGGAGAAAAGTGTGTCATCATTGCCAGAAAATGAACCATTTTGCAACTTGCTGTTTATCCAAAGGATCAGACACATCCAAGAAAATTCACACTGTAGAAGTGCAACAATATTCCAACTCAGAAGATGAACTTTCATTGGAACTGTGCATATAGACACCATAGGTCAAGATCAAAGCGAATGGACAGACACATTAACAATAAATGACCGAAACGTTACAGTCAAGCAAATATCTACGATAGCTTTGAACATGAAAATCAAAAGCTCACAAACACAAGTGTAAAGTTAGTGACATACAATGGAGATACAATTGTGACCGAAGGAATTCAGACCCTAAAATGTTCTGTGCGTAGCCGAACATACAAATTTCCGTTTTACATAGTAGAAACAAGTGCACAACCCATACTTGGTAAGAACACATGTACTGAAATTGGTTCATTAATACGAGTGCAAAGTGTCGAAACTGTGTTGACAAAAGAGGAAGAACTGAAATCGTACACAGATGTATTCAAAGGGTTAGGTGAGCTTCCAGTGAAACACCACATAAACATTGACGAAGCCATAACGCCGGTTATACTTCTATCACGAAAAGCACCCACAGCGCACCGCGACAAGGTCAAAACCGTACTTGAGCATATGGAATCATTAGGTGTTGTCGCGATACAATATGAACCTACCGATTGGGTGCATAGTTAGTTACTTTTTGGAAACCGAACAAGATCTGACTTTGTATAGATCTTAATCGAGTGATCAAGAGAGAACACTAGCATTTGCAAACGGTAGAGGAAGTGATCAAAAAGTTACTGAAAGCTATGGTATTCTCCAAGTTTGACGCAACTCATGGATTCTGGCATATAATGCTTGACAAGTCTAGTTCAAAGTTATAGGTACTTACGCTTGCCATTTGGAATCAGTTCTGCGCCGAAAGTATTCTCTAAACAGGTACAGGAAATGTTTGCCGACATAACAGGCGTAGAATGCATCATAGACAACATACATATATGGCCTTACATGATGTACGAGTTCAAAAAATGTTGGAATGATGTCGCAAAATGAATTTTAAGTTGAACAAGAGTAAAGTGGAGTATCGTGTACCGGAAGTGAAATATGTAAGACATGTAAGCACGAACAACGGAGTTAGAGTGGGCAGCGAAAAGGTATATGCGATTGTAGACATGCCACCACCCAGTGACGTATCTGGAGTTAAACGCATGTTTGGTCATATACATCTCAACAAGCTACATGAAGCACACATGGGCATAGTGAAAATGCAAATGCGAGCATGCGAAATACTATTTTGGCCCAAAATGAAACAGGACATTGAAAACTTTATTGGATAATGCAATGTGTGAAATATGTTTCGAAGTAGCAGCTGACATGTTTCAGTTCAAAGGTTCCGTGTACTTGCTGTGTGTTGACTTTTACTCCAAATACCCAGAAACAGTCCAGATGCCTGCCACATCTAGTTCACAAACAAGCACAGAGCTCAAATCTGTGTTTGCTCATCATGGCATTCCTACCAAACTATTTACGGACAACGGATGGTAGTTCTCAAGTTACGTTTTCAAAATGTTCACTTTTGATTGGAATTTCGTTCACAATACATCAAGTCCCAAATATCTGCAATCAAATGGCAAAGCGGAGCGTTGTGTTCAGACAATTAAGAATCTACTCCAAAAAGCAGACGAATCAGGTGGAGATATTTACACCAGCCTAATGATCTATAGGGCATCGCCAATCAATGGTGTAGGACTTTTGCCATCTCAGTTACTAATGAACAGACAGTTGCATACAAAGTTACCGATTACATCAGATCTATTGAATTCCAAAGTTGTGGAGTCCCGTAAACCAAGTCTTATTGCGCGCGAGCAGAAACAAAAATGTTATTATGATCGCCAGTCAGTACCATTATTAAGTGTTAATTTAGGCGAAATTATTCGCGTACAGAAGACCGAAGGACACAAAACAATGGGAACCAGCCATCGTTGATCAAAAGCTATCAGAAAGATCATAAATAGTGCGCACCGGAAATAACAAGTTATATAGAAGGAATCATAGACAACTACTACAGAC